GATCCTCTCCCTTTTTCGTTCTCCTCTGGATCCAATGTGACTTTTTTTAAAAGGTTTATACATGAGTTTTGCAGAGCGGAGGTTTTTCTATTAGAATATATATTTTTTTCGTTTTTGATTATTTCGTCCAAAAATTGTTATAATTAGGGTTTCTCAAAAAAATGAGCTATTTTTCGTTGATAATAATTATTAAAACACATGTTGTTTCTGGATAGTCAGACTCTTTGTTACCGCTATTATGGTTTGAAACGTTTTTGGCACGGTGTATTCTTTCTTTTCTTCATTGAAAATCTAATTGTCATTGTAACGAAATCAATACTTCCTATTTTTTATGTTCATTGACGATGCGACAAGCTTCTGTGATAGAAAAGCAAAAATTCCAAACAAAACGTACTTAAAATATGATTAAATTCACATAACATTCATGAATAAGACTCAAAGTTTCAGTATAATATCTATATCGTATATACGAGAGATAAAAAATGTGCTAGATAATGACAAGCGCCTACAACCAAGATGAGAAAGTTTAAATATGTGAGTTAGATAATCTTCAGTTATGACAATCGAATGAAAAGTAGTCTACACGTCTCATCTGAACAACAGCTATTCAATGCCAAAATATTATTGAATCTCAAGCTTGAGATCGGCTGTTACATTTTTGGTACAAGCCTTTTGGTAACGCTTTCCAAGAAGTAGAACGTATAAATTGTGCGCATAGCAGTATTAAACGACTATTTCGTGTCAGTATTAGGTTTTTATCTTCAAATATTGTCACTATTCATTTGAGAACAATTTGAAATGATTATTCGGAAATTCGAAACATTTTTGTTCTCATGAACCATCATGAAAAGGCTTCCAGTTGGTAATGTGTGTTTGTGCCGGATACGTAGTAGTCGACCACACGCTTGAGATTCAATAATATTTTGGCATTGAATAGCTGCCGTTCATATGAGACTTGTAGACTACTTTTCATTCGATTGTCATAACTGAAGATTATCTGACTCATATATTTAAACTTTCTCATATTGGATGTAGGCGCTTTTCATTAACTAGCACATTTTTTATCTTTCATATATACGATTTAGATATTACATTGAAACTTGAGACTACTTCATGAATTTTATGTGAATTTAATAATATGTCAAGTATGTTTTGTTAGAAATTTTGCTTTTGCATCACAGAAGTTTGTCACATCATCAATGAACATAAAAAATAGGAAGTATTGATTTCGTTCCAATAACAATCAGATTTTCAATGAAAGAAAAAAAGAATGCATCACCCCAACAACTTTTCAACCATGATAGCGGCAGCAAACAGTTTGAGTATCCAAAAATAATATGTGCTCTTATAATTATAACCACTACTATAATTACTGCACTACAAAATTTGCAGAAATTATAGGCAAGACGATATCGCAGTAGCTGAGGATGCCGCGGAGAAGCAAACATATACGAAAACACATGGGGCATCATATTGAATAAAGATGCCATACTTTTAGAATCAATAAAAACTTCATGTTAGTTTTTTCCTGTCTCGAGATATTGCGAAAATAGGAAGCAGAAGTAGTGAAAGAACTAAATGATTCTCATACTCATTTCGAAGAACTTTTACGTTATTACTGAGCAACACTTCTACTGTTTGAGTTGAAATTTTTACTAAAGGTACATTATTAGATGGGTAGTCGTTTGATTTAGCTTTTAGTAGGAAATATCTTTACAAAGAAAAATTTACGCGGTTCATCCTTATCTACATGAATTATCCATTCATAGTAGAAAAGTGAATGTTAATATTTTGAGCAAGAATGGATCTGGCTCCTTCAGAAATAGACTTATTTTTTTATTCAAAGATTCTTCAGGAAATCTTGCATTAGCTAATACATAACTGGAGGGAAACTAAGAATGGCCCCAAAACGACTGTTATGCGCCCCGATCCTTTGCTTCTATTGAATATGGTTGATACAATGATCTACAATAAATAAATGAATAATTTAAATTAAAAAGAACTCACTGGAGTTTAATCGAATCAAGAAAACGATCTAAAATAAAGAAATAAATAATTGAAATTAAGGAAAGCTTATGTGAACTTAACTGAATCGAAAAAAGATCTAAAATAAATAAATAAATACACAAATAATTGAAATCAATAAGAACTTACGTGAATTTAGTCGAATCGAAAAATGATCTAACGTAAATAAATAAATAAATAACTGGAATTAAAAACGAAGCCTACCCAGGGCGAACTCACCCTGCCGGATCCTATCGGATCCGTGATTATCCGACCTTTTCCGACAGTCGGATCCGATGGGATTCCGACGGTCGGAAACCTTCATTATCCGTTAATTTCCGACGTCGGATATTGTCGGATTCTGTTGGATTCCGGCGACAGGATCCGATGAGATCCGATAGTCAGAAATTGTCGGATCCGATGACATCCGATAGGTGGAAATCGTTGGATCCGATGAAATTCGATGATGTGAAAGCATTTAATTTCGCCTATTCTAATTTTTTATTTTTAGATTGTTTCCAATGATAAATCAAACAGTAAGTATTAATTTATTTAAATAAATTTTATTTTTTATTTTTAGATTATTTACAACGATAAATCAAAAAAAGTAAGTATTTATTTATTAAAATAATTTTTATTTTTTACTTTAGATTGTTTACAACGATAAATCAAACAGTAGGTATTTATTTATTTAAATAAATTTTATTTTTTATTTTAGATTATTTACAACGATAAATCAAACAATAGGTATTTATTTATTTAAATAAATTTTATTTTTTATTTTAGATTATTTACAACGATAAATCAAACAGTAGGTATTTATTTACTTATTAAAGTAATTTATATTTTTTATTTTAGATTATTTACAACGATAAACCAATAAATTAAACAGTAAGTGTTAACTTATTTAAATAATTTATATTTTTTATTTTAGATTATTTACAACGATAAATCAAAAAAGTAAGTGTTTATTTATTAAAATAATTTTTATTTTTCATTTTAGATTGTTTCCAAGGATACATCAAAAAGTAGGTATTAATGTATTTAAATAATTTTTATTTTTTATTTTAGATTATTTA